AGGCTCTGGATTTAGTCCTCAGGGAGGGGGGAGGGAGGGATGTGGGGGTGGTAATGGGTAGATATCAGAGCTTCAGACATATCCTAAATGCCAAGTCAGCAGCTCAAATGGTCTGGAGATGAGTTTGGAGAAATTTCCAGAGCCAAGTTTCCTCTTTAAACCGTCTGCCTCTAGGGCAGAGTGTGATGCTAGACACAGGCCCAAGGCTAAACAGCTTGATCTGCTGGGTCCTCCAGGCCACCCTCCCCACCTCCACCCTACCTGCTGCTCTGACTCTGGCCCTGGATGCCTGCCGAGGGTGGGATGTGAGGCTTCACGTCCTGTGACTGCCTGTCCCCTAGCTCAGGTTTTATATAGTCCCTGGGAGCTCTCCCTACACCGCCCCGAAGGAATGTTGCTGCCCTTCCCAAGCCATATTTGGGTGTCGGGCACTAGAGTCCCTTCCTTCGGCTGGTTCTCAGCCTGGGTCCCCGCCCGGGTCTTCTGCACTGACCAAAGAAGGAGAGGACTGGCCCTGGCCCAGGTAGCTAGGACCGGACCGGGCCATATATGGAGAGTATCCTCAGCTGTCTGCCCCTCCCAACTGGCTCCAATGCTCACTGCAGGGATGGGCTGGGCCAAAGGTCACTGTTTTTGCAGATGACTGGTCTGCACTTCCCAAACTCTACCTGTTTCAAAGGTCTCCCCAGCTCTGCCCACCCTGGGCACATGAGCCGCTGAGAAGGTACCTGATTCCTGACCTCACACATGACACCCCATTTATGGGTTAACTCAGGCTACCAAGCCCTGGTGCTTAAGCCCAAGCCCTGGGATCAGGTGAGCTGGGAGGGGTCACAGGCCCCAGGTAGGGATGGAAAATAAGCCGCACACTTGAACTTCATTTTCTTTCCCACTTTAAACCGCCCCCCCCCCCTACAATCCAGAGATCTGACCCCACCCCACCCCACCCCACCCCCCACTCCGTGCAGGCTGTCAGTCAGTGTAGGACATGCAGCTGTCACAGGGCAGACAACTGTTGGAGAGAGGAGGAGGCGGCGGTGAGAGGAACCATGGGGGCTTTGTGGTCCTGACACACGGCATGTGAGACCAGGGCATGAGAGCTGCCCCCTACGTTCTGCAGTGCACACTTGGGAAGAACAGAGGTGTGTGTGTGTGTGTGTGTGTGTGTGTGTGTGTGTGTGTGTGTGTGTGTATGTGTGTGTGTCCCTAACTCCAGAACTGACTTTCAGTTAGTTGGCTGGGCTGAGCCAATGATACCCCTTCCCCTTTGGTGGCACTGTGTCCCTCCCCTGGGTCTGAAAGGGTCACAGTGGAACTATTGGAGCCTGGAGGGGGCTGAGGCAGAGAGGTGGTGAGGGAAGTCCCTTCTAAGGAGCACCAAGACCTTACACTGGAGCCCGGAGTGGAGTGGCTTCTCCCGGGCAGATTCATCTTTATATTTAGAGGATGATGCCTGTCAGCCCGGCTGCTTCCCATCCACCTTGGAGCCACCACCTGCCAGGCCTATTTATACCAGTGATAGATGGGGATCCTTTGGGTTTCTAGGAGCTACTTATGGAAGGTGGAGTAGGGGTGAACAGAGGTCGTTTGTCTCTTGGCGCCTTTCTCAATTTGGGTAGGGAGGACAAGAAAGCCCAAGACAGTGTTCTGTGGTCAACCAGACGACATACTTTGAGGGGTGCATCAGAGCCAAGCCACCATGGAGCCATTCACTTTTCTGATGGCTTAAGCGTTCCCAAAATAGTTGTTCACATTTGGAGTGGAACTCGGCAGCTGGGACAGGTGCAGATCCTCTGCTGAGGCTCCTCCAGACTCCCACACAGCTCTTCCTAACCTGTGGGCTGCACAGCCTAATGGGGCCATTATTAGCTCCGTGGCTTTGTCTTCACCCTGTGCTGGGACAGCAGAACTAACAAGCAGCAAACGCATGCTACGTGCAGCTTTGGGGACTCATTTATTGGGGCCGTGAGTGCAGGGAGAAATGTGCTGATGCCCTCCCTGGACATCACAGGGGCTGGGCTGGAAGGACTGCCCCAGACTGCAGCAAGCCTGCTCACCGTGACTCTAGCTCATCCTACTACCAAGTTTTCTCAGCTCAGCATGACATTCAGCACATCCAAAGTTGACCTTGAACAAGTGTCTTCGAACTCCAGGAGACCTGCTGCACCACCCCTGGTACAGCAGCAAGCAGGTGAGCAGGGCAGGTGCACTCTCTAACCTCAGCGGCACCGTCTTTTCCTTTCCTGACAAGGTCTCTTTCTCTGGGATCCTGGCTAGACTCGAGCTCACCATCTTCCTGCTGGCCTCGCAAATGCTTGTGGGCAGAGCTAGTATGTTCACACTTCTTTTCTTTCTACTTTGCCCCTTCACTTCTCACACCCTACTCAGAGGCAAACAGGGCAGTTAACAGGTTAACACTGCAACGGGCAGTGGCACAGGTCAACTCTACCCTTCTAAGCCTGTAGCAGCTCTGGACCCACAGAGCCCCAGGGAGGCAGGTGCACACATGGAGGTCGGAGGACAGCTCTGGAGTTGGTTCTCTCCTTCCACCCTCATGTAGATTCTGGGGATTGAATTCAGGCTGCCAGGCTTGCTGAGCTTACCTGCTGAACCGTACACTGGCCCCAGAAATGGACTCCTATGGACAAAACACCCCTTGTTTTAATTAAGGCCATGGTACATCTGTACATGGACCTGCCATCCTAGCAGGTGAGGAAAAAGGCTTTGACTGAGAACAGAGTCAAGGTGTGCAAAGTACTCACCATACCTCATATAAAACAAAAGGTGGTCTAATGCCGTCCAAGGCCCATTCCAAAACAGGAACCCAAGGCTTCCAGGTTAAACAGTTACTTGTGTATATTTTCTCCACATGCCTTAAAAAAATGTTCTAGCCAGGGATAGTGGTGTACACTTGTAGTCCTAGAACTTGGGAGGCTGAGGCAGGAGGACTAAGAGTTTGAGGCCAGTCAGAGCTGCATACAAAAGAAGCTTGTTTATATATATATATATACATACACATATATATGTGTGTGTGTGTGCATATATGTATATATTATATAATACATACATACATACATACATACATACATACATGTATATGTTGTAAAAGATATACACATACCCATATTGTATGGCATATACACGCATAATGTATATACACATACAATATATATGTACACACACATATACTTTTCAGTACATATTGCATCAATGTGTAGGTTCTTGTCATTTTTTTGAGATGGAATCTCACTATACAGCAGTGGCTGGCTTGGAGTTCTCTATGTACACTAGGATGGTCTCAAATTCAGATCCACCTAGCTCTGCCTCCCAAGTGCTAGGATTAAAGACATGTGCCACTATGTCATATGTGGACTTTTTATACATGAATATATAGTCATTCTGAGGACAGAATGGGAGTGGGGGAGGCCGTAGTCAAACTGTAGTTAGCCTGGAAATACTCAGGAATATGGGACCATGAAAGCCTAAGACGCCATGAATCCGTCTTGAAGATTTCTGGCCCTTCCCACAACATCCAGTTAAGAGAATGAAACAACGAAATCTCTGCCTCTATGCCTCATAGAGGCTGCCTAGGCCCCTTACTGGGGCTTATAAAACATCTATGGGCAGACTGGCCTCAGCATTGCAGTGTTTGTGAAAGGACCAACTATGGTGAAACTAGGAACCATCATGAAACCATTGACTCAGGCTCACTGAGTCAATACTGAGATTACAGTCAATGCAAGTACCATATTTGGTAGCAGTGACAATTTACTGATAGCTCAGAAAGCCACACAAACATCTTACTCACTAAAACACTTTCATTAAGATTCATCCATTATTGATGGGTGTGGTGAACTTTAATCCCAGGACTTAGGAGGTGATCTGTGTGAGTCTGAGGCCAGCCTGGTCTACATCAGTGAATTGTGAATTCCAGATCATCTAGAGCTTCATAATGAGACCTCTAAAATGTTTTGTTGTTTGTTTGTTTTAATCAGTGCAAAAAGTGAGGTTCATTTCCAATGAGTTATCAGCTGTCAACTCTCATGAGTTAAGACCCACTGTTTTGGTTTCTCAGTCATATATTAACTCAGTAAAATCTGACATTCATTTTGCTAAGTAGGTACTTCCTTCTGGCTCTGACCTAAAGAGATATAGGTATACCAGAGACTTCTCAGTGTACCATACCCAGAGTCACAGTGACTCCAGAGACTGATTAGGGCAATCTCCTTTCTTTTCCCCCCCCAAGACAGGGTTTCTCTGTGTAGCTTTGCGCCTTTCCTGGAACTCACTCTGTAGACCAGAATGGCCTCGAACTCACAGAGATCCACCTGCCTCTGCCTCCGGAGTGCTGGGATTAAAGGTGTATGCCATCACTGCCCGGCTAGGGCAATCTTGAAAAACATGGTTTTCCTTAATTTTTTGAAATTAAAATATAATTAAATTGTTTTCCCCTTCCCATGTCCCCTCCAATACCTCATATTATTCCCTGCTCCACTGCTCTTAAATTTATGGCCTCTTTTAATTGTTGACCTAAATATATAAACACAACCTGCTCAGTCCATAAAATATTATTTATATGTATATTATTTAAGGGCTGGTATTGGTTAACCAATTAGAGGTGAGGGAGGCAATGTTTTGTTTTTTAAGACAAGATCTTGCTTTGTTTGCCAGAGTGGTTTTGAACTCAGTATCTTCCTGTCTCAGGTTCTAGTGCTGGGATTATAGGTGCATGTCACCAAACTTGACTCAATCTTACAATCCTCAAAACAGGCATGATGTGCACAAGGGGGCAGTGCCAGAGAGAACTGCATGCCTCACTGGACCAAGGGAGGCTGGAGAAAGGGCAGTAACACAAACAATGGTGACTTCACGTGGAAAATAAGAAGAAAATATGTTACAACTGAAAGAAAATTAGGATTATGCTCCCACTTTATATTCTAGCTCCCAAATAAAGCATGAAAAAACCCGGCTGCCACAGATGAAACTATATAAACTTCAAGTTGATTAAAACCTAGTTTTTTCAGCCTCAAATTTTTTTATAAGCAAATATTTATACAAATTTTAGAACAACCATTTCTACAAAGGTCACATCTGTCCTTGGACATAATACTCATAATTTGCTTTTAGAACAAACTCAAAGTAAGGGTTGGACTTCAGGCTTCCCAGCTGCGCTGCTTCAAGTATGTCCTTCACCTCTGGCAAGTATTCGCTGAGCTGGATGCCTGCAAACAAGAGACACAGTCACTTACGATTTCAGAGACTCCCCAGTGGATGAGAGGCTGGTGGTGGTCACTGAGCTCACAGGCCCCACACTGGAGCCTCCTCCCAGTCCCAGTGCCCTCCCTCTGACAACAGCCTCTTCAGAGCCACCTGCAGGCCCTCACTGGTCAAGCAGCCACTCCAGGTGAGGTCTGCAGTGGAGTCTGCACCTTTCATTTTCTACCATTTAAGACGCCTTTAATCCCAGCACTCAGCACTGGAGACAGAGGCAGGCAGATCTGAGTTTGAGAACAGCCTGGTCTACAGAGCGAGTTCTAGTTCCAGGACAGTCAGGGCTACAGAGAAAAACTCTCAAAAAGCCAAAAGACATTCCTTCAATGTGGAAGTTTTCAACTAATAGTTATTTCTGTGTTGTCCTATTTGGGGAACAATGTAGCAGAAATACTGCCACAGAGCTGGCCACGATACAGTAAAGGTGTCACAGTTTAACCTGGGTGCATCCTTCCAGCACTCAGCGTGCTGAGGGAGGAGGGTCCCTTGAACCTGAAAGCCCAAGTCCAGTCTGGGCAGCACAGCAAGACTCTGTCCCAAAGAAATGAAATCACACATACTGTAGCATTTCAACTCAAGTCAGAGACTAGAAGGATAGTGGGGTCAGGAAAGCCAGGAAGCACCAATCAACGGACTATTGAGCCACAGCAATTACAACAGAGCATGTAACCCCATTTGACAAAGAAAATGGGTCAAAAATTTTGCATGAATAAGAGCATATAATCTGTTATATTACTAACAGGTTCTCTAGTTTTAAGGAAGATATCCTTGAGAGGAGTCACTTGTCCAGTAAAAATATTCTTGAAGCAGTCAGCACCATCTTTTTCTATTTGTTATAATGATTAGTTGAATAATTCTGCAACATCAAAAAACAAAGGTCTACTTTGTGCCAGGTAGGGGCAGGCATGTTTTATGTAGATTAAATGATATATCTTGCATGCATATGCATAGCAAATGTTGGAGTCATGTGAATGCCACACCAATGAATACAACTCTTATTCATTCTGTAGGATCACTGGACTTAGGATACATGTCATTGTATGTTCCTCAAATATAGCATCTCTAAATATGAAAGGATCTGCTAGAGGTAGGTTAGCTGGTCTGCACACTACCTGGACCTGGCATCCTGTGTTTTGATCTAACAGATTTGTGTTTGTTTTTTGTCAAAACAGGGTTTCTCTGTGTAGTCCTGGCTGTCCTGGAACTTGCTCTGAAGACCAGGCTGGGTGTCAACTCAAGAGATCCACCTGCCCCTGCCTCCCAAGTGCTGGGATTAAAGGCATGCACTACCACCAAGTATTTTATCTAATAATTCTTAAGAATCAGACCTGTTTCTGTGTATGAACTGTACTGTCCTTTGTGTCTTTTCCAACATTCTTCATGTCTTAAGCTCCCAGTATATGAAAGGCAGAAGTCTCCTTTTGAGATAGATTCATCTTTCCCAAAGAGTACCATATTTGAGCCCTTTTCAGCAAATGGAATTTTTTGTTGTTGTTTTGGTTTTCTGAGACAGGGTTTCTCTGTGTAACAGTCCTAGCTGTCTGGAACTCACTTTGTAGACCAGGATGGCCTCGAACTCAGAAATCTGCCTGCCTCTGCTTCCTGAATGCTGGGATTAAAGGTGTGAGTCACAAATGGTATTTCTCTCACAGAACATAGGCATAAAACATATTGTTATTTTTATTTCTAAATTGAATGTTAGTCTTAATGTCTAAAATGGATGTGTATATAAATATCTTGAAATTTCACTTTTTAAAAGATTTTATATGTGAATATTTTGCTTGCATGTCTGTGTGTGCACATGTGTCCTGTGTCCTCAGAGGCCAGGTGTCCTATTCCCTAGAAATGGAATTACGGATAGTTGTGAGCCACTATGTGGGTGCTTGGAATCAAACTCAGCTCCTCTGGAAGAACAGCAAGTGCTCTTAACTGTTTTAGCCAGCTCTCCAGTCCCAATTTGTAATTTAATACATTTTCTTTAAAAATATCTATTTATGTTTATTTATTTTATTGTTTTATGTGTATGAGTGTTTTGCTGGCGAGTACGGATGTA